CTTTTTTAAAGTGGGGAAAACATTCTATAAAAACCATTCAACAATGTAAGACACACACTGATGAACACTTGCTTCTTAATGAAATTTAGCACCACCTAAATTCAGTTCCTTCTTCTCCATCTCATCTCCTTCACCCACTCTACACACTAATGACAGAGTCCCTGCAAGTCCAGTTTACTAGCATATCCACCATGATATACATTTTGTGAAACTAGAAATCCTGGTTTGTGTTTCAGATAGGTGAGATGATAATTTCTCTAAAAGCCTGATTACCATTTTGTTATACCAATGGGATAATGTAATTTTGGTGTCATAATTCAAGGTCCATTTTAAAAGAAATTATTTTCTTTCTAAAATTTACTGAAATTCTTTATTATGGACATTTTAAAGAATATTTTTACCTTCTAGAAAGTTAACTATAGCTAACTAAAGGAAAGCCAAAAGCACACTAAGGAAATATTTATGAAGGTCTTATCTATTTATAATAAGAACTATAAGTAGGATTCTTTTCTTTTAACATAAGATACATGATAGGTAGTATTTAGCCATTATTTAAAAAAAAAAAAACTCAAGTCACAGAAGACATCAATTTGCAATATAGGTGGAAGCCTATATAGTGTAGGTATAGGAGTGAAGAGACATTTGCTTATAAATATATTTCTTAAGTTTCAAGGGAAAAAAATGCCTAATGATTTTTACATATGCAAGGTTTGGTTCATAAAGAGAATAGGGATATCTTATCTTCTATTCAGCTAACAGGTTTCAGCAGTTTTCTGAATACTTATGAGTAGCTCAGAAATTCATATAAGTTCATGTAATTCACACAGCATCTGTTGTGAAAAAATAAAGTGATAATTTACATCCAATTAAAATATTTTTCATTAGATAAAATGCTTTAATAAATCAACAAATTTATAAAAGAAAACAATATTCATTGGGAATAAAACAAGTTGATTTTCTATAGAGCATGCAAAAAATCAAAGACTGGTCAACTATAAAATGAGTCAGCCTCTTTTATGTAAAATTTTAATCCTGTGACTTTAAAAAAAAAATCTATGTGTCTTAACTATCTTAGAATTTATGTAAGTTATTTAAAAGCAATCTTCTCATTGGAAGCATTCTTATTAAACTGCTACGAAAAAAAAAAAGAAAAAAAAAAACCCATATCTCTTAAACCTCTTGTATCTGCTATAGAAGTAAAAATTTCAGGAGTTTCTTCATATACATTATCTATCACCTTTCTGTCTTTTAAATTCTTTCCTATTGTACTACATGAGAATATATGCAGCCATTTCTTATAAGGAAATTAAACATTTTTAATTTCTTTTTCTGATATAAGGATTCTTCACCTTTAAAAATAAGCTTATATCTAATTTGGTAGGCAATTATGCAAATGCATTCTGTAAGGGCAGATTCCAATGATAAAACATGAAATAAACTTAAGATAAGAGGGGGTGTCAAGAAAAGAGAAAGTTGGTGGGTCTTGTTATTTTTTTACTTTAAATATTTTTAGGCCTCTTCACCACTGCTGCTGGGTCATTTCTCTTCTCTGTACTAAAGAGCCTTTGTCAGTCTGGAGGAGGCAGCCATGTGTCCATGAATGCTTATTTGGTACGGTGAGGACAGATGGCCTGGAATTGCTGGAGAAGACCTTAAGATATATTTAAAAGAGGAAAGGAAAAAAAAAAAAAAACAATAAAAGAGGAAATAAGTTAGAGAAGAGGCAAATGTGTGGCACATGCACATAAACACACACACAGGCACATGTCCCCACATGAAGACAGACTAAGAAACAGCAAATAGGACTTTATTTATATAGATTTTTCTTTTCTGGAGAAATCTTAGTTTTCATTATCATTGGTATGTTGTCTCATTCGAAGAAATCTGACAATCACAGTCAGTACTGTTCTGAGCTTAGTCTGTCCTGGTTGATGTGTAATTCACCTTTTGCTTATTAATAGCATCCAAACTTGAAATGTTAATTTTGAATTGTAAAAGCTCAAGGGCTTTACTTAAATCAAGTCGAATTAAATCGAAATCCCTTACACCCTGAGTCAATGTTTAAATATAATTTATTCATAATGAATTTACCTGTTTAGCATTTTATTTCTCTTTTATTTTTCTGTAATTTAAAGAAAACATACACAATGTTATTTAATCCAAACATCTTGGAGGGGTATTTTTGTGTGTATTTGGGATGGGAGTGGTAGAAAGGGCAGAGAACAGATGACTATAGGAATTTCAGAGGATAATATTGTGTTTTCAGGTAGAAAGACTTTGTAAGATGTTTTAAGATGATAAAAAGTGAAAGATAGCAAATTTATCATGTTTTTTTTTTCTTTTCAAGTTATCATATTAATATTTCCTATTTTCTTAATATTTATTCTATTTTAACCATGCTCTAACTCTGCCAGGTAACTGACATATAGCAAATATTAGATTCCAAATTTCTTCTTATTGGCTTCTGAGTTGTCATGGTTATCAAATGACACCTTCTTTAAATTATTTTTCATTTTAACTATTCCATGCTTTGTATAAACAGAGTGCTTAAAAATCAGGAGAGAGAAATTAAGTTTGGGTGTTACAAGTAGCAAAAGAAGCAAAAATCACAAGAGTTAAGAAGGAAAGAAATAGTTTGTTAACCAGAAATTGAAATTAAAATTTTACCCAGAAGCTTTAAATGGCATTAAATGTAAGAATTCTAAAAATACCTGCTTTATATAATGGTTCCCTGAGTAAGCTCTTGGTAATGTGTTGTCGGCTAAGTAAGTCACTCTTGAATAGTGGTTAGAGCTCTATAGCAACAACTACCCCCCCACACCCCCTCCACCAACACCATGAGACAGGCAGCAAAACTCTAAAGTAAATATAAGGGTATTTTGGGGGGGGGATACAATCACCTTTAAAAATAGAATGGCAAGAAGATTCATAAACAGAACATTTGCAAATGTACAATACTTTTGTCTTACAAAAACATCTGTTGCTCAGATGAGTATTTTGAACACCAAGAGCTTCAGATTGCCCCTAAGAAGGTGTGCTGGGTGGTGCTCTCTGTGGACTTGGCTCCAGGGAGGTCAGCCTGACTCCCAGCTTGTTGGCTCAGAAATTTCCCAGTGGTCAGCCTGTCTTGCCATAATCACATGCTGGCGCCCCAAGCCTGTTTCTTAACTGTACTTTGTACCTTTAATGAAAGCATCCCAAAATATCTCCAACCACTCAAATTCTAGGGCAGCTGTGACCTCAGACTGGACTGTTGGACATACGTTTGTTCAGACAGAATGTTTGATGAAAATCTCCCTGCCACACGGACTTAAATGTTCCCTCTCTGATAGTTTTTGTCACTTCACAACTTATGATTACCTAAATGAATTCCAGAGTCATTGACATGCAGCTGATTAAAAAGGTGCAATGTAACACACAACAGCATAATTCCATGTAACTTATGGCCACTTACGCTAGAGAAAAAAAAAAGGTAAAATAAGGAAAAAGAAATTATGAAAAACTTTTTTGTTTGTTTGTTTAAAACAATAAAAACAATAATAAAAGCAAGAAAAGGGAATGGGTGAAAATCAAAACAGGTAATTCATTTGACTTTATCTGAAAAATGTAGTTTGCCATCCTATGCAAATAGAAAATAGCATTATAATTCTTTTTCAAATAGCATCCCTAGTACAATTTTTGTAGAAACTGCAACAAAGTGACTGTGGATGAACTCTTGCCACTGGATTCACTACAATCTTTTAGGTACATCATCAGAAGTGCTCAGGCCACTTTTCTACTTTTAAGCCACTTTTCATAAAAAGTTCAGCAGGGAGAGCAGGCAGGTGCAAAGGAACTGCACCTGAACTCAACAGGTGTTCCCTGGGTGCTTATTCTCATCAAGCCTAGTGTGATCAAATAAGGTAACCTTGTGTCCACTATGGCTGACCAGGAAAACATAGTTTAATGACCTGTTAAAGAAATGAGCGAAGAATAGGACTCAAAGAAAAACCAAAGAGATCCATACTGTTACTTTGCCATTTAATATACATAGCTTTGAAGATTCATTTCAAAATAATGCTCCTAGATATACAACACAAGTCACACAACTTGATTTTTACATTAATGAGAAGATATGCTTGAACTAGACTTATGGTATTAAAACTTTTATTTTCTTCAAGAAAAAAATAATTACTTGTATAAAAGGGTAACAAAATATACTGACATGGTTTTGTTCAAATACAAAGCATGTCCATTTATGTGGATTTGCTCCCTAAAAGTATACTTTTAAAATGTGACTGAATAAGAAAGAAAACAATCTATTCTTATCTCAGATCTAAAAAGCTTTATTGCTTAAGCTACACTTGCTTTTAAATATCACAGTTAGTATGTTGTTTAGCAAGTAACTAACAAGACACTAATAAAGATTCCTGTCATGCTTTTAAGTACAGCTTGGCAAAACTAATTTCTCTATTACTTATGTGAAAATATATCAAAGACCCAAATTCTGATTTAGTGTTGCCATAATTAACCTGTTTCTTTATGATGAGATCCAAACCTCAAATCTATGCAACTCACTTTACTGAGAGTTTGTATGATTCCTAAATGTAAGAAAATGTTTATATGTAGCATGAAAAAAATATATAGAAAATGGTTATATTTATATGCAGATAGATAGATGTGTGTGTGTGTGTGTGTGTGTGTGTGTGTGTATAAAATGAAAGCCCAGTTCTTAAAACAAGAAAAAAAAAAAAAAGACAAATTCAGTTTAACCTAGAACTCTCTGGGTCTCTGGCTACTGTCTTCCTGTTTTTCTTTCTCCACTTAGGGAGAGGAGAGTCAGACTTGCTAAGAATCACAAGCAATGTTGAAAACAAGTGAAAGTCAATTTACCTTGCTAATTTTTGACATACTGCTTTCTTTAACTGCAGAAGTCTTTTTTTTTTCCTTTTTAGAATCAGTTAATTTTTTTTTTTTTGCAATCTATTTTTTCCCTGAGAAAGTAACCCCTTGTGTCCTACCTTAGGCTCCTCACTGAATGATCTCTTTTTCTTCTAATTATATTTCTTCACCTTGGGAGGGACTCACACTGCTTCAGGATAAGCAACCCAGCAGAGCCTAAGGTCAGGTGTGCCCTAGAATCTAACTCTAGAAATTACAATCACGGAATAAGAGCAGAAGAGGGAAAGCAGAGGCAGAATGGGGAATTTGTAAGGATATTGAGGCTCATTCTAAGGAATAATTAACCAGAACGGCATCCTATGTTACATCATTTGGTTGAAATCTCAAAGGACAGACTGAGGAATTCAGCAAGCTGATCTTTATCTCCTTCCTAAAAGCCATAGGGTTAACAAATCAGTTGTACCCATAGTAAAGCCTTTGAGTTTTCTTTCCTAAGTATGTCTTGCTCTGGGGTCCAAAAAGAGAGTACTGCCCATGAACCTGCAGAATGGTGTGCCAATGAAATATTATAAAGATATTCAAGGTGAAAACACCTAAAAAAGGGGGGGGGGATAAAATTAAAATAATAGGTGGCTTTTATTCTCTTTTAAAAACTGGGGTTCAATGAACCAGCTAAAGAGGGTCAAAAAAAAAGAAATTTCTAAGGTAATTCTTGAAGTAAAAGGAAATTCTATTTGGGGAGAAACATGGGGACATTTGTGAAGCACAAACTCTCCAGGTAGAGGAATTGTAGGTCTTTTCTACATTAGCAGAGCTTTAAAATCAAATCTTCAGCTGGGCTTTTGTTTAACACATATGCAAATTTGTGCACTGCTTCATTTGAATATTTATTTACTGCATTTGTGAAGGAAATTGGGGGATTATAGCCTCTTCCCAGCTGTGTTTTAGTTAATGACTGGTCAGCCTATTAGCCTGCTCTACTAAACGGATTCTCTGCACAAGCAACACCTTTTTTTTTTTTTTTTTTTTTTTTTACTCTGACTAGAAATTCTTCGCATAAACAGTAGGGAAAAAGCAGAACAAATCCAGGAAGAGTTGCACACTAAAAATGAAATGTTCCTCCCAAGTCCTTAGAAATAAGCAAGAAATTTATTTCATGACAGTGACTTTTGCATTTTTATAATAAACAAAGGAAACATTTGCCCTTTATTTTGGGGGGTGGGGAGGGAGTTAGCTAATCAAAATTTGTCAATATGGGAAAACTGATTCAGGATGCTGTTCTAAGTGGTGTGCTGTTTCTGTCACTGAACTTGTTCAGTCATTATCCCCTATAAACATAAACACATGCATCAATGAAAGTCTTTTAAATTACTTGGGCAATTATTAATATTTGACATATTCATTGGGTTCATGAATTTGCTATTTCCTCCTATCTTTTCATTGCCAAAGCACAGAAGGAGAAAGAATAAATAACATCTCTCTTGCAACCAAATCTGGTGTACAGTAATTGTTCAAACTAAATTATTTAGAGACATCAATGCTGATTTTGAGATTAAAGACATGTATGACAAGCTCATTTCCAAGGATCACTAGTGAGCAAACTTAAGTTCTAAAAACTCTAATGCAAAAACTTATCTCTAGCAGTGTATCATTTATTGATAGTTAAGAAAAGTAGCATCTATTATTTGGTAAGTATGTATGTTTCAATCAACAGGGGGGATTTATATTATTCTCAAAGAGTTTTTCTTCTTAATGAGTTTTGAATTTTATTTAATATAGATCCACCCTTCTAGGTGGGAACCTTTACTAATTCAAATAGTCAGAGTTAATCTATGCAAATAAACAAAATTTTTACCACTAAAGTTCTAAATTCTCCCTGGTTAGACCTGAGGGGGAAAAAAAAACTGCACTTTGATTTTTTTAATTAATAATCTTTGTAAAACAAATATAAACTTACTTTACATATCAAAATTATTAATTATGTAAGATAATTTACATAAACAAGTGCTTATTTTTGTATAAAGTATTTCTGCAAATAAAAAGGTAACAGCAGAGAACTGGAGAGCAACTAAGATATGAAAAATTGTTATTGGAGCAAAATGATCATTTCTCATGGTTGGGAAATTAAATATTATCTATTTGACTGACAACTCAAATATTTACAGAACAAAACTAATAAAGGGAAAACTGCTGTTGGACCACAAAATACATACAATAAGTAAGAGTATGTCAATGAAATAACGTTATAAGGATAAGTGTTCTACCCAAGAAATCAAATTAACTGCTTCTTTGCTAAGATGTCATAAACCTGCCCATGATGCTTATAACTCTTCAAGAGACTATAAAGAAATTTCAGGTGTGCAGTTGGTGCCTCACTTCTTTGTTGAAGTGAGTAGTGTGCTCATCTCAATGGCATCATTTTCTGCCCACTTCTAATAGGAGTTTCTAAACCATCTCATCAGCCCACCAGGCATATTTCTTGTTCACTCCTTCTGTGGGGCAGAAGCAGACAGATTGCTGGATCAGATAGTGCAATACGCTGTATACTGCATTTGAAATGTGCCTTTTTTAAAAAGCAGCAGATTTATTGATTTTCTTAAGTAGAAAATATGCACCCGGACATTAGACAAACACAGACTAAACACAGACTGAGGAAAAGCTGATAATTTGATTAAACTGACTGAGCTTTTGTTGTCTGTTTGGGGAATTTCCAGTAATGTGCAAGTGCCAAGCGCCCCTCTTCTTCTGAATTTAACAAATCTAATCCCTAAGCACAATGAATTTTACAATTGTACCATATTTAGAGAATTGTTTTTCTTTAGAAAATTATTTTGATGGGCCCATATATAGCTGAAGTTGAAAGAAGGGTTGGGTGGAAATCATGCCTTGTTCAACAAAGGAGACTAGACTTAGAAAGGCTAAATATTGGCCAGGCAAAACACATTTGGTATTGATCTTATGACTGCTGATACATGCTTATTGTGGACAATAATAACATGACTTTTGTTAGTAGATATCAGTGATGTGCAATTTCATTTAGTCCCATCTTAGTAAAAGAATTCTCATGTCTAAGGAACTATTTTGTATCTATCCATCCATCATTTGCACAACTAAAAGTAAAACACTAGTATTTTTTTTTTTTTTTTAGTTTTGTAGTATCTCAAATATTTGAATGTATACCTGAGGCATAATTTATTAAATGGTACTTTATACCATTTGGAGACTGAATTAAGTATGTAAGGTTTTTAATGCTTCTCCTCATAGTATCATTTCACATGTCTTAGGCAGTAGTTTGATTGTCTGGAAATGTCAAAAGGTTTAGGATTTAATTTACCTTTGTGGATGCCTGGAATTAAATTAGTGGCATCAAGTGTGTGTGTGTGTGTGTGTGAACTGACCAGGATGAAGGAATAATAGCTAAAAGTGTGTGAGGATTACTGAGTTTTATGAATTAGTTGAATGAGGCCTGTGAAATTTTATTGTGAACACCTCTGAACTGTCTTTTTATCTTTATCATTTATACCATGATATTCAGGAAAAGATTGAATTCCCTAATATTCTACAAAAACCATACTCTAAAATAAACATCTACAGTTTTTAAATCATAGAGAATTTTTGCTTTATTATTTTCTGGGTTTCCACTTGCTAGGTGTTTAATTATTCTTTCTGCATACTGTTCTACCTTCTATTAACTGTAATTTCACAAAAACGGTTTTTTTCTTTCTTTTCCAATTGTTCAATTCTCAAGCTCATATGTCTTATCATGATAATATTTCTCCTCCTTCCAATCTCTGCCCATTCCAGTTTATATCAAATATCTGTTTTAGAACCATTCATCCTATCTCATTTCACTAGTCAGATATTTGATCATAACTTTTCACAAATTCCTGTGCTTCAGTTTGAGAGTCTTTTCCTTTCCCTACACCACATATTTTTGCTAAACAAAAACTTAGACCTTCCAACTAGGTTATCATTATGGTGACTAGCTACTATCATAATCCAGAAATCACCAATTTCTAAACAATTGGTGATGGGACAACTAAACTAAAGTGTTATTGCTAAGATTATTTGAATCTTGCTTTTAGTTACTTACTCAAAATTAATTTTAATTATAGATTCTACTGTTCTTTTAAAATTTCCTTTGAAATGTGAGAAAATAATACTTATAAAAATCAAGGTAACACTGAAGTTTAAAATCATTTTGCCTTTATTGTATTAACATATGAGTTTATTTAATGACTGGTCTCAGTTGGCCTGAAGATGTTTAAACAAAGCCTCATAGGACACAGCCATAAAGATAATTTACATCATACTCTTTCTGATTTTCCCCTTCATTTTTTCAAGTGCATGGCAAAGCTGATTTTTCAAGCATATGCCAAAGATAATTTCTACCAACTCTTTTTTACCCCACATGCTCTCATTAGGGAAAATAGCACATAAAGAAAAACAAACTGCTAATTTTTAGACAGAGGACATTTTATTAAATGTATGAGTCTTACCCTAATGACCTCCAATGGCAATTCAAATATATTTTATTTCACTCCATAATTTATAATTTTAATGCTCAGAAATTATATATATATATGTATATATATATACATATATATAACAGATTCTTTTCAGACTTCTAAGAATTCAATTATATGTAACCAAATTATAGCCCCTTTTAATTTGACACATACTTTCTTGTTCTTTCAATCTGCTCTTTTGAAAAGAATCTGTGAAGGGGAAAAAGCAGTTTTTACTAACTGCATCAAATATTATAACACTGGTGTGATGATTTTTCTCCGGAGAAGTCAGCCTATGAGGTTGTGTGACTAAAAGTCAGGAAGCCTACATTCACCTTGTGATTCTTCCTAGGGCTAATTATTCACTTTTTCTCAGCTTCTGTTTCCTCATCTGCAAAATAACAGAGTTGGGGAAAAAAAGGGCCTTCCAACTCAAGGTTCTCTACTTATTTTTCATGGATTTATATTTTTCTCTTTATACTTTTTGTTTGTCTCTCTGCTGTTTTAGACAATGATGAGACTCTCTAAACTAAATAGCTATGGCTGTCACTACCCTCTTGAATGCCTGGGTGTTAAGTCCAACTCCTACTACCCCACTCCAAGAAACCTAATTCAAATCAAGGAACTTTGTTGTGGGTGGTGTAGTTGAGAACTCTAGCCACACACAGGAAGCTTTACCAGAAGGTGTCAACTGAGAGGAAACAGACATGGAAATATCCTGTCAGCCTCACTGAAACCTGCTGCAGCCAACCGAGGCCTTTC